GGACAACAATTTCTATCTTAAAGGACAGTTAGGAGTCTTAAATGAGACAAGGTGCGCAGAGCACAGTGTCTGGTGCAGGCCAGGAGCCAGATAAACAGGAGTTCCCTTCCATGGCCTTTCACTCATCCCCATCATGCCAATTTCTGCCAAGTGTGATGCAGCAGAGCTTGACCTCTCCCCTACCAAGAGAGCCATTTTCAGAAGTTCCAGGTGACCCATGAGCTCCCAAGCCAGGGCCTGGCCGTGATGTGTCCCAAGAGCAAGAAATGATTTTCAGTCCCACCCTTAAGCTCCCCTGCAGGCCGTGACATCTCTGCGTGCATCCATGCGTTTCTGCCCATGCCGGCTGCTTCCAAGTCCATCTCTACAGCTGGTGACCCTTTGGCTTCACCCATTTGCCCACACAGATAGAACTTTGAACTCTCCTTCCTCTTCCAGGAATCCAGAGGCCCAAAAGGGAGTCTGCTGGGCCTCTAATCCCCAGCGACTCACTATCTGGGCCAGCAGGCAAAAGGTCACCATGTAATCTCTGCAGATAAAGCCACCATGAGACCAACCTATTGCAGCAAGGGGATGACATGCTCCCAGATCCCACCTGGACTAGCTGTATGTCCTGCACAGGCCCTGAAGCTCAAATCTCTGCCTCTTGCCTTCACCCCCAGCTGCTCCCAACATGCCTTTGCTATGAGACAACTGGCAGTTCTGGTCTGATCCTCCCCATTGCCTTGACCCAGGTGGTACCAAATCTGGCTTGAATATTGTAGAATATTTGGTTCCACCAGGAAGCTCTCAGTGTAAACAACCTGTCAGTCACCAGGGTTGCCTCCAGGGCTCTTTGTTCGGAGGCAGTTGCATGACACTCAGGAATTTCATGCTGCCCTAGAAACCACAATATATGTATGAAGGAAGGTACGGAAAGGAAAAGGTAATGAAGCAGCTGTTTAATTGGGACTGAAAAAGCAGGTATCTGGCAGTGTTGGTGCCTGGTGGGAAGGGTGTTTGAGCTGACCTCAGGGAGGGAAATGCTAATGAGCCGTGTGCAGGAGCCTGTTTGGGGGTAGCCGTGGAGCAGGAAGAGAAACTCTTAACACCCTGCACTGGCTGTGACCCCCAATTTCCCATCTATAAAACAGAGTTATTATTGATACATGCATACTGTTGACTCTATCACGAAGCTGTTGTGTTACCAGGGTGAAACGGAGTCAAGGAAACTCTTGGCAACATAGAGAACATGTAGCACATACACGTAACCCACATATAATCTAGCGCTCCGCACAGTTCAGTCCTGCTCCATCACACCCAGACCAGCACGCACTGGCAAAGGAATTTAAAGGAAACCCCAGTCTTGACTTGGGTCTCTCTCTCGATCTCTCTCTGTTTTGGTAGAGACAGGGTCTCGGTATGTTGCTCAGGCTGGTCTCAAACTCCTGGGCTCAAGCAGTCCTCCTGCTACAGCCTCCCAATGTGCTGGAACACAGGTGTGAGCCACTGCGCCCGGCCGTGGGTCTCTTGAAAAACACAAAAGTGTGTCCGACTCACAATCATCAGCAACATTCCTCAAAAATCCCTTTATTCCTCGTCCCCATCCTCTGGTACCCCTCGGTGTGCCAAGACTCTGCAGGTGGCCCCGGCTGCACCCCAACTCCTGGCTGTTCTGCGGGCACTGCTGCCTCCTCCTCGCTCCAGTTCCTCTCGGCCCTTTAGTTTGTCCTTAGCCGAGTTCCTTTGCTCCTTGCTTTAATTTCGCTCCCCCTTTACCTGTTACCTGCCACAACCAAGGAGATTCTGGGACCAACCCAAAAAGTAAGACTCCTTCCCCACTTCCCATGATCCCAGTTCTGCATCTCGGTCTGTCTAATTTCACACCACAGAATGCCCAGAACCACGAGGGCAGCCCGGACAACCCTGTAAGGTCAGGAGAGAGAAAAACGGTGGCGAGCAAAGCAGAACTTCTCAGTGGATGGGACTGGGCACTGCTAATAAATCTTGCACCAACGCACACACAATTGTCATTTAGTTCTCCCTCCCCCCTACTAGCCACTAGGACAGCGGTTTTTAGTTTCTAGCCATGCTGATTTTTCTTTACATTGTCACTTTTGTCACTCCCTTTTGTAAGAACCACGGGTGTGGCCGAGGCCTTCAGCACAGCCTGGATTCCCCATCTCAGCGTCCTGGCTTCCTCCCAGTCGGCTTCCAATCCCCCAGTCTGTCCTGCATGTGCCACCCCACTGACCTTGACCACACTCCACATTCAGCAGTGCCTGCCCTGCTGAATAGCTCCTGACTGCCCCAGCACGTGGAGTCTACGTTCCTCCATCCAGCAGGGCAGCATGTCTTCCCCTTCGTATCCGCTTTTAACCACCTAGGTCCTCCAGGAACCCCCTGCCTGAGTTCCGCTCCCTCCAGCAGGCCCACCCTGACTGCTTCTCCATTCCGAAGTGCAGCTCTTACAGTCCATGCTACACAGCCTCACTTTTGTTCTTTGCTGTCATTGGACCATTTTAATTATTTTATAGCTTTGAGTCTTTTTCCCATAAGACCATAAACTCCCTGAGGTCAGGGATCTCAAAGGCTTATTAAGAACACACAAGCGTCACGAGTGCCTGTAGTCCCAGCTACTCAGAAGGCTGAGGCAGGATCGCTCGAGCCCAGGAGTTTGAGGTTGCTGTGAGCTATGATGATGCCACTGCACTCTAGCCAGGGCAACAGAGTAAGACTCTATATCAAAGGAGAAAAACCAAAAAACAAAAAACCACAAGGGTCCTCAAAAGGCATCTTCTTCTGTTAGCTCGTGACAAGAAAAGCAGACCCATTTCTACTCCAAAGACCATAATGAAAATCTACAGATGCCCCTGCCAAGTCTTTATTTTTTTTTATTTGCACTAATTCCCTAAAAAGTCATTTTTAAGAACTTCTGGATAAAAGGCAGAAGGAACTCTTTTAAAAATGTATGTTTAGGCCAGGTGCAGTGACTCACGCCTGTAATCTGAGCACTCTGAGAGGCTGAGGCAGGAGAATCGCCTGAGGTCAGGAGTTTGAGACCAGCCTGAGCAAGAGCAAGACCCTGTCTCTACTAAAAACAGAAAAAATTAGCCGCGTGTGGTGACGCATGCCTGCAGTCCCAGCTACCTGGGAGGCTGAGGCAGGAGGATCGCCTGAGCCCAGGAGTTTGAGGTTGCCGTGAGCTAGGATGACGTCACTGAACTCTAGCCAGGGCAACAGAGCAAAACTCTTGTTTCAAAAGTATGTTTATTGATTTTGTGGTTAATAATATATTCATCTGGCTCAAGACTTTAAAATGTAATCTGCCTCCCACCTTTGTTCCTTGGCCGCCCAGTTCTCCAGCCAAGAGGCAAACAATAGACAGTTTTCTTGTTTATTTTTCAATAGGTATTTGATGTATATTAAGCCAGTATGAATATATCCTCCTTTTCCCCCCCACTCCTATTTTTTACCCACAAACAAGCATGTGATACACATTGTTCTGCACCTTGCTTTTTCTGTTTAACAACGTATCTCAGAAGTCTTCCCAAATTAGCACATCGAGAGCTTCCCTGACACTGTTTTATAGCTGTGTAGTGTTCCAGTGTATGAATGAATCCTAATTTATTTACCCAATCTCTGGGGATCAGATAGTGAGGGTGTTTCCAGTCTTTTAGTACCATATTCGATGTGGCAATAAACAGCCTGTTCAGACATAATGTCATATACATGAGTGTATCTGTGGGACAAATCCCTAGAATTGCTGGGTCAAAGGGTAAGGTACATACGTAATTTTGATAGATACTTCTAGATTGTTCTCCAAAGAGGTTGCATCAATTTACACTCCTCCAGCAATGTACGAAGATGCCAATTCTCCACACCCTTGTCAATCTCATAGGCAAAAACTTTCATGTCACTGTAGTTTGTTTTGTACCACTATGTTCATGCATGTGGTTGAGTAGCTATTTATATTTAAGGCCCTTTGTGTGCTTGTTTTTTTGTCTGTGTATGTTTTTTATCCTCTGCTTACTTTTTTGTATATGTGTTCTTGGTATTTTTCTAATCAATTTATAGCAGCTCTTTATGTATTAGGAGAACTTGTTATATGAGCTGTAGTTTCCCCAGTGTGATATTCCTTTTGAACTTGCCTTTGGGTCTTTGCTCAGCAGACCTATCTATTTTTCTACAGTCAAATTTATCAGTCTTTGCTTTTATGGTGCCTGGGTTTTGTGTCTTGCACAGAAAGGAACAGGACCGCCCCCCCACACACACACACACCTTTTTTTGTTGGTACAAGCTTAGAATGTCTTGCTGGGTTCTGTAAGGAACAGGACAACTGCTCTACAAGAGGTCCCGATTTTAAGGAGATGCAGAGTAAACTGACGATTACGACTCTGTTGTCATAAATAGCAGGGGGCACAATGGGAACCGGGGCAAAGCACCCAACCCAGTCTGAGTCGGCCAGGGAAGGCTTTCTCAGGGAGGCAGCACCCAGGTACGTCCAGAGGCACGTACAGGAGTCAGCCTGTGCAAAGGCAAGAGGCAAGAAGCAACGCGGCTTGTTCAAGACTGTCCAGCCTGGCAAGGGGACAGGGAGCCCCGCAGGGTTGGCGTGGGGTCAAGGGCGGGGCTAGAGGGGAGGCAGAGGCCAGACCAGCGAGGGCCGGTGTGTATCGCCCAGGAATCAGAGCCTGAGCCAGAGGCAGTGAGGGCACAGCAGCGGGACTCACTGAATACTCTTAACAACGCCATGAGGGTAGGCTAACGATATACATGAGGAAAGTGAGGGTCAGGAAGGCTAAGTTCTGCGCCAAGGTACCACTGCTAGTAAGAGGCAGAGCTGGGATTTGAACTAGGGGCTGTCTGGCTTCAGAGCTCTTTGTCCTTAACTACCATGTTCTACGAGGACTAGGGAGTGCTGGTCAGTCGTCAGCCCAGACCCTTCCCCAGCCTCACCTAGCAACGCCCCCGATCTCTGAGACCACAGACAGGCTGCAAAGGAAGGATGGAGTCTCCTGAATGGGCATTTTCTTTATTTCCCAGCATCGCAATCTCAGGGCACGGTCCGCACGAAACCTCAGAGTCCTGCCAGTTCGCAGGCTTCTCGGACTCTGGCAGCCGAGCGCCCACCAAAGAGCCACAGCTCGCACGGCTCAGCTAGGGCTCTCCAGCTGTGGCGTTTCTGGACGAGACGTAGAAGTGAGGTTTCCCCAGCACTCAGTCCTCCCGTGAGGACAGCGCGGCAGCTTGCTCACCTGACTTGCGCACCCATTGCAGGAAAAGGTGGGCAGGGGCTCCATGCAGTAGTATCTCCTGGTTGAAAGAAGCTGGGAGCTGGGCCGTCAGTGCAGTTTAACCTGCAGCAGGTCCAGCCCTGGGAGGCTAGAGCAGGCCCAGGCCAGGTCCCTACTCAGCAAAAGGAGGAATCCTCACCATATTTTGCCAGTGTCCATCTTCTTCACCAGCTCGGCCTGAACCCATTCTGAGTGCGGAGGGACACACGTGACAGAAATCCCAGTTCAATTCTGCTGGAAGCCACCATGCTGGCAGAGGACTTCTTTCACTTTGTCCACAATGGTCCCCACCTCAGCCATGGCCCCCAGACCTGGGAGCAAAGTTCTGCTGTGGCCAGACGGGCCAACAGTGCCTGCAGACCCCCGCTTACTGCCCCTGAGTGCTCCACCCCAGAGTCCGAGGCCTGAGAAGGTCCAGTCCGTCTCTGCCTGAGCCAGACCTGTGAAACCCCTCCCAAGACTCAGGCCAGGCCCTGGGAGTCGTTCCCGCAGCCAGCATTAACCGTGTGTGGGCTGCATGCCAGGGACTGTAGCAGGCACTTTGCACGCACTACCCCATTTTAGTGGGGATTGTGATTCCCATTTTCCAGCTGAAAAAGCTAAGCTCAGAGGAGAGCGGTTTGCCAAAGCCACAACAGGCCGGGAACTGAACCCAAGTGTGACCCCAAAGCTGAGCCCCTTCTGGGGCCCTGGGCTGTGAGCCTGGCAAGATGCCCACCTTGGTCTCCACACACCAGCTTCTTGGCCACACAGGGGATCTCAACGTAGCCGAAGGCCTTGAGCTGGTCCACCTGCTGCGCGGTGATGGGGTGCTCCCACATGGCGGTGTTCATCGCTGGGCAGAAGAACAGGGGCTTGCTGCGGTCCCAGGCCCGGATGACACAGGTCTGTGAAGAAGGGCAGGGGAAGAGGGGTGTCCTGGTGCTCTGCCTGCTACCCCTCTCCAGCCCTCCAGGCTCACAGCCAGCCCAGCTGTGGGCTTGGGGTGACCACACAGCCTGTCTGTGGGGAGCTGTCTCATGTCCCCGTGGCTGTGTCTCCTTGCCCCCTCTGCCTCCCCACAGGCTCTGGCACGGATAACTGACCTCAAGCACACAGGAGGTGCTCAACCAATGCTCACGATGGCCTAGCCAGCTCCAACAAGTCTCCCCGCCCGTGCGGAAAGATCTCCCTGTACCCAAGCCTAAGCCTTCTCCTCATGGACTCACACCTGTCAGGTCAAGGCCGCCGTGGGGAGAAGCAGGCTAAGAACTAAGAACCAGACTCCTCCTCAGACGGGGCCCATGCACCCGACACCGGCTCCACTTCTAGGCCAACTAAAGCCTGGCAATGAAAACATCTGACGTGTGACAAAAACTTTCTCATATATAAGACCTCATGAACACACACTGTGACCCTATAAAGAAGGTGCTGTCCCATTTCACAGACGGAAGCTGCAATTCCCTGAGAGGTGAGCAATGATCCAAGGTCACCCCCAGACAACGCCACCACCTATGCAATCATCACCGTACTGCACAGCCTTGCCAGCCCCCGAATCTGGGCCATCGCATCAAGTCACACACCTGAGCAGCTATGAAATGGACCGACCCACTCAGAGTCCTTAGAGCTGTGGGCTTTGGGATCACGCAGCCCTGAGTTCAAATCCTGGCTCTGCTGTCTACTGCCAGCTGTGAGAACCTGGACAGGTTACTGAATGCTGGGGCCTCAGCTTCCTCTCTGCAAAGGCCCCTCCCTGGGCGCTGGGAGGACTGAGGCGAGAATGCCTACAAAGCTCTCGGCACCAGGCCTGGCGCAAAGGACAGGCTCCGGAACGGTGGCTCCTGCTCTCACCACAGGCTCAGGCTCCCTAGGCCGAGGGCCGCCAGAGAGAAGGAAGCGGCCCTGGGCTCTGACCGCTCTAGACAACTCCTCCAGGGCTGTGAGCCCCTCGGGGCATGGTGGCTGGAACACCCCTCCTGTGAAGTGGGCCCATCTGGGAAAAGAGTTGGGGAGTCCAGAGAACAATACCAGAACAGGCCAGGCCTGGGCCTGCCCCCCTTGGTGCCCCTGCCCTCTCCTGGGGACAGGGAGGAAGTGGAGGCAAACAGCCTCGGGATCTGGCTGCTTGCGTCAGCCCAGACAGCAGCGACGGTTTCCCATCAAGCCCTCTCGATACAGCCACTGGGCTATGAGTGGGCAGTTTCAGTCAGAGTTCCTCTTGGCCCTGTGCCACCTGCCACTTTTGCAGAAGCCAAGAGCACACCTAGAAGAGCCCTTTGACTGTGTGTGGGGTGCGGGTGAGGGCTAGGCTGGGTTCTCTAAGTGCCCTCAACGCAAAGCACAGCGACCAGAGCAGAAAGCCAGCACCTCCGCCCCACGGCGTGTCTGGCCTCCCCCATACCTCACCTCAGAGCTCAGAGCTTCCTGGGCAAACCACAGCTCCCTCGAACCCACCGGCAGCAGGAGGCGAGAGGAGGGCTTCGGTTCCCACGGTAGCTCGCCTGGCCAGTGCCGTGTTCGGCTCCTGGGGATCTGCTCAGGCAGGAGAAGGCCTGGATCCCAGTCAGCAGCCAGACTGGCGAGGAGGGAAGCTGCCTCCTCCTCTGGATCTGATTGCCTTTACAGCACAAACAAGGCGCCAGGGCCTCAGCGGGCCACGGGGCAGATGACAATGGAAGTTCCCAGGCCAAGGGCTGGAGGCCAGGGACGCAGGTCCACACCTGGATGCCACCCTCGCGGCACCCCGAGTTCTGGGCACCAGAAAGGGAGAAGATCTGGCAGGGGAGGAAGCAGGCTAAGCTTCTTTGCAGGGACATAAGGAGAAAACATCTACTGAGACAGACAGTCACACACCAAGGACGCTGACAGTTCCAATTTCGTAAGATCTGCGATTCCTTGAAATATCTGTGCCTTCAAGTGAAACCCTTTGAGGCAAATGGTCCGCGGGGTGGTCTGAGAACATGTTCCACTGCCCAGCCAACTCTGGAGGAGGGAACCCCAAAGACTTCTTGGAGTGATGGCAGTTTTGGAGGAAAAAGGGAAGCAGTGCTTTCAGGAGGGAGGAAAGGGACCTCAGAGAGCTGGCCCAGGCCAGGGCTGACCTCCGCAGGTCGGTGTGCTTATCACACCGCTGCTGCCGACCGGCCTGGACACCAGGTGCGACGGTGACGCACCACACCAGGTGCGACGGTGCCGCTCACACAACTCTGACCCACTTGGATGACAGTGGCCAGGGGCCTCCCTTGTGCCAGCTGCCCGGCTGGCCCTGGCACCGGCGGCTGGGAAGCCTTCTTGCTGGCACCGCTCCCAGGCCCAGCCCTCTCTGCGCTCCCCACCCACTCCCTGCCACACAGGCCGTGCTGCTCCTCTTCTGCTCCCCCGGCTCTTATGCAAATGACGCTTAAACCACTAGCAGATTCTTCCAGGAGTCCCTTAAGAGCCCACAACAAGCATACAAGGACATTAATCTCATATCTGATCCTGAAAAGTCCCGACCCAGCTTTGTTCTTCACCTTCTTCCCCACATTAAACTCCACAAACACCTGGCCATCTGTGAAAGTCAACTTGCCAGTGACCTCAAACACGCAGCAAGCATCTATCCAGTGCCTGCTACCCGCCCCGCACTGTGCGGGTGGCGCATCCACTGTCAAAGGACAGACTGCGGGTATTTAAGGTTGGACCACTCACCAGAGGACACGCCCTCCCCACATGCACGGTGGTCAAAGCCCCTCTCCTTCCAGACTGTGCTGTGGGGCCCTCAGCACAGGCCCCTCAGTACCTGGCAGGTGAAAACTCGATAAATGGGAGGGGGAGGGGGATAAGGGAAGGGGAGGAAGGAGAGGAGAAATCACACCCAGATCGTCCCAGGATGATCACATAAACATAGGCAGCTCCTCTTTAGGGGCACCAGCTCCCCGGCGGTCTCTTAGGCTAAGACGGTCCCCACTTTGGACTTCTGTTTCCTCCACCGTCCATCAACTCTCACTTCCCACCACGTCTTTCTTGGCTCTTCCCCCGATATATAGGAAAACTGTATCTCGCCTTGTGGCTAAAGCTGTGAGGGAGCTGTGTGTGCAGGAGAGACCCATGAGGAAGGGAACCCCCATATCAGACTGCCCACAGGTGTGCCGGGCGCGGGGTGCGTGGCCGAGCAGCGAGGGGCAGGGGAGAGGTGGACACTCCGGAGAGCAGCGGCGTGTCAGGTTGATCATCAGGACTGGTCTTCTGCCCACTTGCTGGAGGGGACGTGAGACGGGGGGCGGGGCAGGGGGACTGCATTCTCCTGAGCAGCCTAGGCCCACAGTAGGAGGTTTCCTTGTACAAGGAAGTCTGCAGCTCAGCAACTGGGAGTGAGGCCCAGGGAGGGATGACGGTACCAGGGAGTCACTCACAAGCAAGTTGTCACAGATGCCGCTGGCCACCTTCCCCAGAGTGTTGGCATCAAGAGGAGCCACCAGCATGAGGTCCGCCCACCTCCGCAGGTCAATGTGAAGGACGGGGTCAGAGCGGTGCTTCCACATCTGGCAGTGGGGAGGAAACGGGGTCACCAAGACAGTCACTCTCCCAGTGTGGAAGAGGGGGGTGGAGGACCAAAGCAGCCCAGGTACCATAAGTTAGGAACCCAAGTGGACCCTGCCCTAGTCCAACACCGTCCCCTCTCGCAGCTAAGTCGGCGAGCACTGGCCGTGGAGCTGGCCGCCTGAGAGAAACCAGGCCTGAGGAAACAAACACCCCTTGTCTCCCCGAGCTATTCCCTTTATGGTTCGGTTTGCAAGAGAACTGACATCTGGCAGGGAACTCCTGGCCTGTCTGCTTCAGGCGGATGCTTGGGTTGTCCGAGCCAATGGAAGGGCTCCAGGGCAGTGAGAAATGGCGGGGGTGGGGTGGGGAAGGCAGGCCAGCCAGAATGTTCTAGGCCGAGAGTGTTTGGAAACGCCTGGCAGGGAACCCTGTGAGGTCCACACTCAGCCTCTGGTGCATCGGCCAGGCCCCCCCTCCGCAGGGGAGCAGAAGTGGAGCCCGGCGGCCGTGGGAAGATAGGCGCTCCCTGACGCTGGGAGCCACGTGGACAAGGGTGGTGGGAACAGAGCTTCTCTGTGGTTTCATCAGCCCAGATAAGTACAAGGACACTCAACCTCAGGCACCAGGCCAAAGCCCAGCTCCGCCTGGGTGGGAGGGGACTGTGGGCCTCCTGCAGGCCAGAAACTAGACAGATGTTTTCCTCATCACCTCTGCCCAAAGGGCCCTGACTGCTGCCTTGAGCCAGGCCCGTCTGCTCTGGCGGCCAGACCCTAGGCTGCAGGGAGGGCCGTTCTGCCCTGAAGCTGGAAATGCAATGGAACTCAGCCCGGCGGCCCCAGCACTGACCTCCCATTCGTCAGCATCGCTGTAGAGGGTGACAGGAACATCCTGGGGGCTGTAGAAATGTTTGGCTCTCTCAGTTGTGACCACTGCTACTTCCAGCTGTCACCAACAAAAAGTGGAGGGAGGGAGAGGAAGGAAGGGAGAAACTGTTACCACCAGCCACAGGCCTGGAGGCCGCACAAGGGCCAGGCAGGCCAGGGCTTTCTTTCCAGCCTGGTTCTAGAGAGGACTTTTCCTCCTTGCAGTGAGTCCATGTTTGCATAGCCACTTCCGCTGTCACCCAAAGGTCAGGCCCTACCAGGTGTGGCTGTTTCACTTCCCTATCTGAGGGTTTGCTGAGGAATGAGTCACCAACTGTCCAGTGTATATAAAGCGGCAAGCTCCTGCCACTCAGGCAGAGTGAGGCCCAGGAGCAGAGGCAGGAGGGTGAAGGGAAAGAAACTCAAGACAGCAGGGCCACGGAGGCCACGACAGACAGGAGGGGCCGTCCGGGGAAGCTCGGTCCGAGTTCTGGGCCACCTCGCAGCCCTGCCCTCCGCAAGCCAAGGAAGCTGGGGCCCGGCACATCCTGTGCCCATCCAGGGCCCCGTGAGAAAGCGCAGCCCCTTCACATACTTCTAGGAACGCGCCTCATGGGCTCAGGCTACAGACAGGCGCCAGGAAAACCAAGCCTGCGTGCCCTGTGCTCAAGGGGTGAGAAAGAGGTTTGCCTTCACACTGCCCATTTACTAATAAATTACTAATGCAAACAAGAGTACGTTTAACCGCTTAACAGAACAAACGGCTGTGAGAAACAGCACAGGGGAGCATGAGCAGCACTGGACGGGCTGGCCATTATTCCTGAAACAAGCTGGCAAAGAAAAGGGGCCCAGAGGACGTGGCTGGGAAGGAAGGGTGTAGGAAACCACATCTTCAGGGGAAACCACGGAGTCAGGAGAGGACATTCATCCAGGAGAAAGAAGTGTCAAGGGTGACAAGGGCAGAATCACGGACTAGCCAGAGCAGTGGTCACGTGTCGAGCCAGATCCAGCCTGCAGACACGCTGTTCGGCCTGCACAAGGTAATCAACATTTCTGAGCTATCATATACAAATTGAAAGATTTCACTTAGAAAGTCCCATTTCCTAGTGTGGCTTTTTTTTTTTTTTTTTTGGTGCTAGAGGCTACAGTACAGTGGTGTCATGATGGCTCACAGTAACCTCAAACTCCTGGGCTCAAGTGATCTTCCTGCCTCAGCC